ATAAATACGCATTGTTCGTGCCGAGGGATTTTCTATGACGTCAAAAAGGTCTATTCATCATTATTTTCACCGCATAAGATGCTTACGCAACACCATTCTCTATTCTATTTCCGCCCATTCCATCTTATTCATCATCCATCCTCTCTTTCTATTGTCTATTTATTATTTCTCTCTTGTCTCTCCTTACATTTTCATCAACCTTTTCTTTTCCTTTCACTAACTTAAAGGCGACTGGAATGTTACCCGACTCACTATAAAAAAAAAATCTGATCTCGGATTTTTATGCCGTATTTTTTTTTTTTTTTTTAACGATTAGCCCACACGGGCACAGGTCACTAACCCATATCAGGGCCTGGGAGATGTAATAATAATATTAATAATTCACAGGGCCGAATTCAGGAGTGGGCAAAGTGGGCAGCTGCCCAGGGGCCTCCACATATTACAATATTTTATTTATTTATTTATTCATTTGGATTATTTTTATTTTCATTCTTTAAAATTCATGTTTATCTATCACTTTTGTGTGTGTGTGTGTTGGGAATTTGTACACTATCAATAAATATAGTTAATTAAAAATTTCTCAATGTTCTAATTTCCCCAATATAACTTCAAAATTCTCCAAAGAAGATGTTTAGGCTCGCTTCACTCGCCACCCCACCCTCTTGGGTAGTTATGAGGGGGGCCTCCACAAAGAGGCTGCCCATGGGCCTCCACAGGTCTAAATCCAGCACTGATAATTCATATTAAATAAAAAATTTAATAAAAATAATAAATTAAAAATAAAATAATAATTCACAGTAAATAAAATGTATAATAAAAAATACAAAATTAAAAATAAAATAATAATGATAACAATAATAATAATAACCACTAATAACAATAATAATGATAAAGAACAGTAAAGAAATGCAAAAATGAAAAAATGAATAGTGAGAAACAATATATGTATGTTGTGTTGTCATGAGTAAGAGAAACAATTGAGACCCTGCAATTGTGTAAATGAGACAGAAAGTCAGATCAGCAACCTGTGACTTGGTCATATATGGCAGCAGGGTCTACCATTAGACAACACATTATGCTTCCAATATCTTCCCAGGCGGTAGTACCTCCCTGTTTAGTAGCTGCCTACAACCTACACACTTAAGTTCAGTTACATACAGACTGACGATACACTTAAGTGAATCTCAAATACAAAGTTAATAGCCAAAATATACCCGAAAATATTATGATAAAACTACAGTACTGTTTAACTAAATGTGCTCTCTTAATTTCAGTTACAAAGGGATATTAATTAACAAAAAGTACTAAATGCAGAGTTTGGTGAGCATCTGGTACATAATGACTATGCACAGTATATATGTAAACTTTTAATTCAGACTTGATTACTTTCTACTTTATAAAATACATTAGTTCAATTAGATATTACCTGTTGGAATAAAAGATAATAAGGCAAGATGTAAAAAAAAACAAAAAACTAAACGTGTCCATTCCTTCTCGAGACTTTACCGTCCATTGTTATGTTGCCATGAGTGAGAGAAATGATATAATGTCATTCAAATTTTTGCTCAGCCTTTTCTACATAAACAAAACTGGGTGTATGTGTGTATGTAGGTGTGGTTGGTCGATTTTGCAAACCATTTGGTACTTAAGTGTAAAATCCAGCATTGACAGAAAAGATGTTGGCACTAACTCTGTGATAACATACCTGGGCATGTGTAAGCTACATCAGGCCAGTTGCTCAGTTTTCAGTCGCAGCGTAAATATAACGTGACAATTAATGATTTTTATAAGTACGAATTCTTCTATTTGGGGGGAAGGTTGGGTTAGAATAGGTTAGATAAGGATATGTTAGGTTAGAATAGGTTAGGGTAGGATAGGTAATATTGGGTTAGGTTACATTAGGTTGGTTAACCTTTAGGTGAAATAAGCTGGGGAGGAGATCCTTCAGGTGATCCAATACCTGTATTCCAAATAATCCAAAACAGAGTTGATTGAGATCCACCCCAGGGAAGAATAGCTTCACAAGATTAAAATTAAAGAACAGATATTTAATTTAAAGTCTTGCCATTTTCATTAAGTTGCTAGTCTTTAATCAGCCTTAGTATCTGCAATAGTCATTAATACTAAATATTACTAAAATTAAGAAGTAAAAGTAGACACCATGGGATATTAATTATCTAAAATAGCTAGATAATTATGATATTACAGTATAATAGCCTAAACTATATTGGACACCGAGCAACAGATAGCAACTCTTCCACTGCGGTAAAAATGCTCTTCTGAAATCTGAGAGCAAACTAAACTGTATGAGCAGACAAAATTGTACAGTGCAGAGGGAAAATGCATTCAGGTTTGTTTACAGAACTTCATGGAAACAAATCTGAACAAAGATTGAGCTTATGTGGCCGGCTGTACTTGGTCGGTCGGTGTCTTTGTTATCACCTTCAATGTCCAGTGTTAGTGTTGAATTTACTTGTATACAACAACAATTATAGCCTTATCTTCACTATGATGTTCCATATATTTGAGGCTAATAAGTACCTGTAGTTCCATTGCTGACGATTCTAATTTCATGGAGACCAGAAAACGTCATCTATTAGTTCAAACAAAATATATATCAGACACCAATTTTCATTATAAAGTCTTAATCTTATAATGACAAGGGGTTAAAAACCATGATCCCAAAGGGTTAAAACCATTGTCTTCAAAGGGTTTAAAACCATCATCATGAAAGGGGATAAAGGGGCAAGTGTCTGACAGTATAATCTAACGACAAGGAAATATTCTCGGTGAACGGAAACCCCAAAACAAAATGTTCGTACTAAATCCGTGTGGTCTGACTTTAACCCAACATTTAAATTGTAAAGTTAAAGGTAAAAATGAACTCTTCTGAAATTTTATATTGCATTTCCTTCTGTATTTTTGGTTGTATAACTGGAAGTGATGTTGTCAGTGCCTCTTATTGTTTAGAAGTTTCTTATGGGGCAAGTAGATCATACTTGCTTGAGTATAAATAAGGAAAGGAAAAGTTAACTTTAACTCTGGGAACTTACCTTATACTGCATTGTATAAAATACAGTACTATTTACATTATTGATAAATATTAGAAGAATACAGTGAGTCCTGTATCAAAACTATGTTATTTACCTTAAATGTCAATAAACATTTAAAAAATATAAGACATAACAACAGAACAATTTTTCTTAAAAAATTACTAGTCACCATTTCCCGTTACACTACATAAAATAGTATTAAAAATGAGAAGAGGAAATGAATGAACATAAAATGGGCAAGAGCTCCTGAGGCCAACTGAACGGGTCAGTTTCAGAGTCACACTGTTGATCTCTGAGACTACTGCAGTAATTAATTTATTGCAGATGACACGACCAAACAAAACTATCCCATCACAATCAAAATACTTTATAACATATAAAGGTCAGGTTAAGTTAATACAAGTTGGTTTTAGTACAGTATTCTTACATACATATATTATTTAATATGAATCACCTGAAGAATTTCCACCCCAGCTTATTTCACCTAAAAATTAAATACCCTAAATAAATTTTGGAGGATGAGGTTAGGTTAGCATTAGGGTGGTCAATCTTTAGGTGAAATAAGCTGGGGTGGAAATTCTTCATGTGATCTGTTTTCTTAATCTCTGACACCTGTACTATTTTCTACAATGTTTAATAATTTTACAAGAAACAACAGAGATACAGTACCATACCTAAATACTACCACTGTGCAAGAAGGCTTCAGTACAGATTTACTTTACAGTTTTTCTAATAAGTTGTCAGTAAATCATTGCACCAAAAATAATCACCTTCACTCATTACAGGATGCAACACACAAACATACCCACGTTTAGCATGGAAAATAGCCACCGGGTACAGCAGAGGAAACTGTGTCTAGAGGCTGCTCAAACTAGCGATGGTGTTCAGTGAATTGTGATTTAAAAAAACAAAATGAAACTGAAGCGATGCATTTTAAATTGGTATCTCTTCCCTCATGTGTTAGCGAAGGGTAAGAGAACTAATGGAAACAGGATTTACTGAATAGGTTTACCTTTAACACACTTTAATAACTAATTTTATTGACCATTATTTTGTACTAGAGTTTCTTAAATTGGCCAATTTATCCAGGTTTACTTATATCTTTAATTGATGAAAATATTGTACTGTTTTATTTTGAATTATTCCTGAGGATGGTGAAAGGTTACCAAAACATCAACACAACAAAGATGCTTAGAAATAATAAGTGTGTCCTGTCATCCCTGCAAGTACACCCACTACAGGAAGTATCTACAAGGTGGGGTCCAGTGGATGTCAAAATGAACACTGACTCCTGTTGTCTCAGTAGGGTTGTCAAAATACTTCAGCCGTTGTGTCATATTTTCAAACACAAAGTCCTAAAGATGTGGGCGGTTACATATTGTATATATTTATTGGTCTTAACTCATCTTTTCCCACTACAAATAATATTTAGAATCAAAGACTTAAATATGACTCAGGTTTACCCCACTTACAGGTCCTGAAGTACCATTCAGGTTTACCACACTTACAGGTCCTGAAGTACCAATCAGGTTTACCACACTTACAGGTCCTAAAGCATCATCAGGTTTACTCCACACACAGGTACTAAAGTATCAATATAGTTTACCCATTGCTTTACATTACACAGTATAAGCCATCAGTTGCTCATCCTTCCCAAGAACTCCTTGATCCACTTAAACTACCTACATCCTCCACCTCAACCTTCCATCTCCACCCATAATTATACTCCTCACTACAATACTCACGATTAATTATGTCCTACATTACCTTCAACTTAAACTACTGTAACTACCAAGTACATAAGACCCTGTAACAGCACTACTTACCCGTATAAACTTCTCTTCCTGTTTACTCAATAGTGGTTACCATCTGAAATTACAGTACAGAACTTTCTTTGTAATACAAGTTGAATTTTTTTTTAAAGATCAAAGGTGAAATTAAATGTCATTTTTATTAAATACATTTTTTTAATATTCTGTGGTTATATTCATAAAAGAAAGGGTAAATTTACTAGCAGTTTTAAATGGAAAATTACATCCCGTATTATAAAAATATCTGTGTAGACTGTACTCACCAGATGTACTTCCAAAAACTTGTTCTCTTTTTCTTCTTGAATATAATACTGTTGTTCATTATAAAAAAAACTTAAAGATATGATAAAGCAAAATATAGCTGACTTTCTCAAAAATCTAATTAATTTACAAATTCTCACGAGACCACTTTTAAGGCGGAGGGCAAGATTTCCGTTCATTTCTTAAAATTATTGCACTCTTCCAGACTTCAGGGGTAAGAGTGTTCTGTCCACAACTCACTGCCAACAGCCTGAAATATAATAATAAGTATCTAAGAGAAGAAGAACACTATACTTGTTCAGCAGAAGAGGGAAATGAAAGACTGAAGAACAAGAAGCAATAACAATGAGCAGTAATCACCACATAATGAAATAGGGGGAACACTCTCAACCCAGTACAGTATACTACTTTGGTCATGAGAAAAGGATGTATACAGTACCAGAATGCTAGACAATAATACCAATAAAAGAGGAGAGTGTGGAGGAGTAAAAAAAAAAATAAATAAATAATCGAGAGAAGGCACTAGTCCAGACCCCCTCCCCCCTCCTCTCCACTGCCTTGGATAGGAACCGTACCTCCATAATATTACAAGACAATTGACCGACGACAATCAAATACTGTACTAGGACAATTAACATATTTTTTATTAGAATTTTCCCCTACACCGATGCTATCTCTCTATATATAGTATCAAATAGGCTCGAAGATGATATTTTCAGAAACGTATTTAAGAGGTTACCTGGCTAGAACCAAGAGACTGTGAAGGTCGTACGCTGATATAGTATCGTCATTCTTCCGGGTGTCAACAAAGTCTTCCTGCACCATCTAAAAATATAAACAGCACATGAAATCGAGACCAATTAATCTTATTACAAATACACACATAAAAAGATAATTATTTATTTAAAGGGGAACAAACTATGTACTTCACGTGGCTGAATAAAATGTAGGTTCGCTTTTCTGTATAAAGAACTTAACACAAACTGAAGATCTGGTAACATTGTATTACCAGATCACCTGCCTCATATCATGCAGGTTATCTGGTTTATCTGGTAACACTGTATTACCAGATCACTTAACCTAACATTATGTAGGTTATCTCACGACAAACTTTCTGCTGTTGATTTGTACCTAAATAAAAAATTCTACGAGGGACAAAAGCAATAATCTTGAAACAGAACTGGGAACTGCAGATCATTAAGTTGGATTATACATTCATAACCTAAAAGTACATATCATAACTAATTCAGTTTTGTAAAGATTTTTTTCAATCTATTGACAAAAAATGAACTTCATGATCCCTCTATTCTGTGGTGGGGATAAAATAAGGAGGAATAAGACTTTAAATAATGTGAAGGTTTTGACTCCATTTGCTTAACTTTCTGAGTTGAGGATAGATGGGTTGTTGAAGTTTCTTGTAAGGAACACTTGATGGACCAGTTACATACCAATTAGCTGAGATATAAATTTACATTCTACTTTCTGATCCACAAAATCTTCTCGGTAAACATTCCTTTCCTTGGTAACTTGAATCTTTTACCTTCTGCATGTCCTCTAACAGTGTGTAGTCCATGAGGCGGGCGGCAGTGAGGTACGACCGTATCCTCTGAAGCAGGTCAGGAGTCAACATGGCCTCAACCCGGCTGAAGGCTGCCGACACATCTGAGTGTTTTGGTTCAAGTCTTACTCCAATATCACTGTAAAACATTTAAAACTTTTCATTACAATCACGACACATGGGTAAAATATAACAGCCATACCCAAGCTAAAGTACATAGTAAATAACAAATTGTACTTCACCATAAAATCAAATTATAGACATCTTTAGTGTTAATGAAGGGTGAAGTTGAAACAAACACACATCCCCTCTGAAACATTAAAATAACAACTTATAACTTTTAAAGTACTACAGTATATATATATATATCTCTTATTATAAACTATGAACAGTATTAGTCATGTATTACCTTTATTTTTAATGAAGATATTGAGGAGATATGAGACTCATTCTTTATCGTTACTCATTGTCTTTTATGGTACTGTTTCCTTTTAGTTGTCATTAACCTCTTGTATATGGGGTCCCCTCTGAGCTGAATAAAACCATCTAGCATTAGCCAAATATATTGAGAGAGGCACGTCCCCACAGTGAAAGGGTCAAAGATGAAGAAAACCCCCAACCCTCACCTGGTCATCATGGTTTGTTCCTCTGACACAATGAGAACCGGAATGTTGGTCTTCTGTTCAATCTTGTGATACTCAAAGTCATAATCAATGGTCTGGCCCCTGATAACGTTGCACATAGCTGTCAGGTTCTCAACCCCCTTCGTTTCCAGTTTACCGGCTGTGAGTGCTGTCTCGTCAACTACCAGGTGAGTGTGTTGGTTTAACTGCAGCAATCCACTCACCAATCGGTTTGCTTTGTAATCCTGTGAAGGTGAAGAAACAAGTTCACACAATAATAATAATAATAATAATAATTTCTGCTTTTTGTTTCATAAAAGCACCAGATCTTCTGAAGAATTCACAATTGTAAAAAACACTACAAAGTCAAGGATCTGAGAATAAAAAAATACTAAAAAAAAAATACACAATGAAATTCTAAGGATTAATCATCTTCATATCATCAGGGGTTATAGATACAAAGTAGAGGTACATGTATTCATGAACAGACATTGTCAAACAGGGAAAAAATATCCACTCTTGTTATGTACAGGAGTCAAGATGTAAAATATTCAGAGGCTATTGAGGAGACTTAAATAATAAGTGATGAAAAAAATTTACCAGTCTAGGAAATTTCAATGTAATACACAAAATTTAAAAGGAACAAACCTTTTTGGGGATGAAATTTATGGTATTCATATTGCTTAGGGTCATGGGTAAGATGTGGGACTGAGTGACGAGACTGCTGATCAGTTTGTAAAGCTGAGTGGTGTACTGCTGTTCTTGCAAGGACCTGTTTATACCCTTGAGGTTCAGGCTGAACTTCCCAAGAACATGTACGTCCTGCAATTGCCAAAAAATAATTAAATGCGTACACTATCATATTTTCTCTCGAGTAACCCCCCCCCCCTCCAGCCACACCCCACGATGACAGGGAGCAAAAGCAACACAGACACACATATTCACCGCCTCTCTTCACCAGTTGATGTGTTCTGTTTTGCTGGTGTACTATAACTAAAAAACATCCATCTTTTCCCATATTCCTCACTGCTTGACACATTTTTTTTTAACTTCTGAATCTCTTTTTTCTTATTCTCTGCATCCTATTTACTGCACATATTGATCTCGTGCACATCATTTGCCACTTCTACGGTACTCTTCCCTCTAGCATCCAGAGTCCAGGGGTTTACAATGAAGAAGGTTTGGCACAACTTGCACAGACCACAGACACGACTGAATGAACAGAACACGTCAAGGTGGTAAACAGTCCACACGTGTGTTGGGGTGTTTAAAGCAATATAGAGTAGCTGGCTATTTTAGGGCCTTAATGTGGAAGAGGAACAACAAAATAGAACACATCTCTTAGGGCAGAGGATGATTGAGAGAGACTGTACAGTATGCCACAGTGGGAAGGAGCTTACAAGAGTGAAGGAAAATATAAGACATTCTCCCACATAAACTCTTATATACCTTCATAATACTAACCTGTCTCCGGAACACAGAGGACACTAAATGGCAGATTAATAGTTCTGCAGCAAGTTCATCTCCAAGCAGAGCCTCCTGCAGCACCTGACGGAGCGACTCCCGTGTTTCTCTCATACTTCCCGTTAATGCTAAGACATCATCGGAGGAGTCCAGTTCACAAGGGAGGAGTGGGTTGGTGTGGGACAGTTTGTGTGCTGTAATAACATGCAATCTGAAATGGAAAAAAATTACCATTCATTTCTGAGTACAGTAGTTATATATAATTACAGTACAGGGACACAGATGTTAACCATGTTGTAGTATTTCCCTTTTACAGGTAAATAAAACTTAGTTCATAAAAAAAGTCAAGGGGTAAAATGGTTTGAGTCAAAATAAGATAAAAGAGTAATGTACAGTTGCCGCCACATGAACGTACCACGGCCTAGGAGTATGTGAGGGCAAATGTGGCAACACAGCGTCGTTGTCATGGGCGTGAAACCGCGGATTACCCTGTTTGTCAGTTCCCCATAGTTCAATCCGTCACTCGGTCGTGGCTACACAACAATGCTGCATAACATACACAAATAAAGCATCCATGTGATAAGTGTTCTTCAGCCTTGATGTGTGGTCAGGCAAACTGGGTTTTAATGTTTCATATCACACGACTATGGTGCTGCAGTGCCACATCTCGTACCAGAGCCCCCACACACTCCCAGGATGTGGAGGCAACTGTACACCAGAAAACACGTAACACTGTATACTGTAGCATCTTTAACGGGGATACAAGATATGGGCTAGAAATATGTAAGTGCAGTACAGTACTATTTTACGAACTGGGTAAAAATATATAAATAATCTTTTGAAAATAACAACACTTGCTCACTGATTACTGTACAGTATTATATTCTTGTGGTTTAGGGTTCATCATGATTAATATAACCTCTTCAATAACTGAGAAAAAGTCAATATATAATTTGACTTGAAAATAAAAGAATAAGTTGTATTGGAAGGTATTCACTCAGGATGGAATTGTGCGAGAGCTTTTAGCAGACCAGCTTACAACAGGATCACTATAAGACACTGTATAGTATTTGATATGAAGAAAACTTCCTAACAACATTATTTACTACCTTTGAATAATACATGATGGCTCGATTTGGCTACATTTACACTAAAGACAACTGATTAATGAATAAAGCAAGGTACGTATGTGGCAGTTGTGTGCAGCAGTGGTGGTCCGGTAGTTATGGGTCGCCTGAACCACCGCCGTGGACTGTACGTGCGCGGCAGAGTTCAGGTGTTGGCGTAGGATGAGGTAGGCACCAGACAGCTCACAGCCGGCTACACCACCTTCGATTCACCCCACACAGACGGTCTGGCCTCTCGAGTCCGTTGTGTGGAGCAAACTTGCCTACCTGCACCGTGGAGACAAGTCCCCGCCTCGCCTCTTACGATTCATGTGATTAATTGAACATTGTTGTTCTCACTTTTAGTGAAGTTTATGTGTGTTGTACTTTCTGTTTTTAACTTGTCATTTTAGTGTTTAAATTTAATAAAGTGCCCTGTACAAGAAAACCTAGTTCCTGCCTGTCATTTATATCTAGTGGGAAAAACACCACAAGATAATATTACTAATCAACCGGGCACATGAACCTAAATGATATGAGAATTATGGTGAAATTTCATAGACATGTTCAAGAGATCTTGTGGGAGAGGGACACCCCCCCCCCAGGCCACTCTCATCTCCCACACAATATAACACTACCCTCTTATTTTTATCTTTATAGTACTGTACAGTAAACAGTTTTCTCTTTAGTCATAAGACAAATTCTGTGATTACTTACATATACAGTACTGTAACACTTTACAGTGCATAAAAATCATCTGGGTGAAACAGTTGCTGACATCCAAACATACTGTCAGATTTTCAACTTTGAAATTTAGGTTTCATATTTGTTGATGTATTATTGTTTTAATAATCTTGTTACTGTATGCATTTAAAGACCTTAGTTCTTGAATTGCAATAATAACATTATAACAACTGGTTTTCTTTAAACAGTCCCAGATAACCCCCACCCCCCATAGATTTGCTTTTGTCGGACTGGGGTCTACCCCAATTAGTCCGATTTATCGAAGTATCGAAGTTCTACTATACTGTACACTACAGTTTGTGCCAAGTTTTGTGAAAATCTGCTGGACATATGATTTTACAAATTTATAATTAGACAAACTGATTCCTATACTGTGCTTCCTTGCATAAGGTGGATAATAGAATTTAATTTATGTTTTATCCAATCACTTTAAAACACAAATTACTTTTACAACTAAAGATGAACATAAATTATTATAATCTTGTGACCTTGGCACCAGAGAGGGTGGTGGGCAGTGTGCAGCTTCTTCCTCTACCTCCATGGCTGCTGTGTTCATCAATGACTCTCCCTCTGAGTGATCACCGCTTCGAGCCGCCAGTGATGGATCAACTGACAATATACCAACCACTTCAATGATGTCATTCAGGGAGAAGTTTTGATTATCATATAACTGAAAAAAAAAGTTATAGAAAAAATTAAAAACCAAATTACATATAACATTCAAATGACCTATCAACAGAATGAGAGCTTTAACTGCATAATACCAAATCCAATTCCAGATTCTATTCTTTAAGTTGAGGCCAGACAATAAACCTGCCCTGAAGAAGTACACCCAGGAGGAGGAAACAGATACTTGTATTCCCTCTCCTATGATTTGAAAACAATTTTACATCACTAATAGTGTCACCTCAAGATTGTCAGCCTTTCTAGGTGAGTTCCTGTATCCAATTACAGTATGCCATGTGACTGGTACAGGTAATGTTATTAGTTTTCATTATATTGTGCAGCTCACCTTCACAAGACATGGTGTGCCCTTCATTCCTGTGATGGGGAAGTTGAGGTCAAGTGTAGCTCCTGGGACACCTGTTGCTCCACTGCTGCATCCTCTGTCACCGTTTCTCCCTGCAGCCTCACCTTCCTCTGTTCTGCTGCGCTTCTTTTCTCCACATTCTACTGCTTCTGATTCCATACTGAAAAATTATTACACATTAAAATGTGTCTAAGGTGCAGAAGCTGATGCAAACAACAAACCCAGACAGTATGAATCGGTGCAAGAAATAATCCAAGAAGGAGTAACTCGTTATCTGCACTAACTAGCCATTACCCCAGAATATGGTCTGGGTCCACTATGAGTTGTCAGTTCTGGGTAAACACAAGAAGTACTCTCTGCCACGTTCATAGAGTGATACAGTATATATAATTCTCTAGAAAAACGGCTGCTATTTGCAATGACGGCACCACCTTCCCTGTAGACGACGTTCTCCAACAAATTCAGCGCTGTGTTCAGGTGAGTTTTAAGGGTGTTTTTTGTGGTCAAAGTCATGGACATTTCATAAGTGAAGAAATGTGCCGCAAAGAGCAGCTTAAGGACATAAAAAACTCCCATGTTTACACCAACTCAGCTGTCATGTACTCTTACCTGGGAGACTTTTTTGTTTTCCAGTGCATTTACAGAGTTCATCAGTACTAGATGGAGATATGAATCAATTTAGAAGTAATGACATTGTCTGGACTTTGTTTTGAGAATGCCTGATGCTAAGTAAACATGACCACATAGTGCTGTTATTGTTTTGATGATTCACTAATGAACCACTGGGATATATCATCATTTATATCAATTAATGGGCAAAATTTTACTTTAACTACCATAAGTATTTGGATGTTTAGATTTGAGATAGGCTATATTGGGTAAATTTTAAGTTTTGGTCATCCCTGTACTTGGACATGCAGACTGTATTTTTCTGATGGTTTGCGATGTGTTATGAATGATTTAGACTTAAATTTCTATCGGAAATCACTGGTTTTGAGTTACTACCCTCCCTTACATCTGTATGTTAAGCTTACCTTATAATTCATCATACCCTAACCTAACCTAACATATGGCCTGTATTTTCTTATGCGATCGAAAAATGTTTTACGACAGAAATCCTGAAGGGATAATGAGTCTTATTGTTTTAAAGTACTTAATCCCAGAGTTAGAATCTTAAGGTTCCCCAGATGACCGAAATCAAAATAATACCAATATTGTTTGGAAAGTTTATACTATGAAATTTGTTGTATGGGCAGCTAATATCCATTGAATTAGTTAATGTGCTTAGTAATATTTATATATTCAATATAGTATTACTGTGTTGCACAGTAAGGCACAATTAATTATCTTATAACATTTATTTACAGAGCTGATCAGCCGAGAAGGTTGGACAACTACATCCAGGGTTCATCAACGCAGATGAAAGAAATTGCCCAAAATAGATGTCATTATGATAGTAGAGTATTACCAAGAACTCCGCCATCCAGCTATGAAGGACGTGGTCGTCCCTAGTCCTTCCACTACATTAAAAATAGCATAGACATCAGTGACGAAAAATTACATTTTCCAAACATGAAATAGAGAACAGTGATGAAAACTTCCCTGTTGGAGTTATCGGTCTTTTGCATCATTTTGGCAGCCAGCAAGTAAATACACACGATGATACTTGAACAGCAATTTATTTTAACCTAAAAATAAGGTATGACTGTGTATATCAACATTGTATATGGCCACAGGTTCTGTATTTCTGCTGGTAACAACACATACACCACAGCTGGCTGCCTCCATGCTCCAGCTCGAGTCAACCTATGATGCCACAACCAATCAGAGCTTTTCGCAGTCACGTGACTTTTTAGCAACTTTAACCCTTATTTTTTTATACTTTTTGGCCCAATGCATTTAAGAATATCATTGCCATCCTGAATTTAAGCATTTTCTTTACCCATTGACCTGCCATCTTACGAAAAAATTCCGACCGACAACTCGTCCATTACACACACTCACTCCTGTAAGCCCCTCTGAGGTACGGTATGATGCAGGGTGGCCTGATAGGTGACGATCCTGATCCATACCCTGGCAAGATGCCGCGTCACCATTGGCAACAATCAAAACATCTGCTGTCCAATACTACTTGTGTGTCTGACATTGATGAAGTCTAACTTAACAAGTACTGGTACATGTATGGAGGCAATAAAAGTGAAAAAGCAATAAAGTTCTATTGATAAAAGCGTATAAGAGTTTTGTAAGTTTAAGATGACAGAATAAAAGAAATAAAGGTTATATTGGAAAAATAATTGGTCACCCATGATTTCACACTCTTACCCAAAATATTAAAAATAACACTAAAAATAATGATGATAAAGACCTGTCCATGCCTTCTGTCGTGTGGCCATTGTGTGTGTTCTCAGAGGCGCCATGGTCAGCGTCTTCGTCTACACAGCGTTTATTACGAGACGTACTGTAAGAGGAGCCAGGTTCTGCTATACAGGGATTCATTTCTTGATATATCTGAAAATCATCATAAAATATTAAGTAAACTAGTTGCTGTAAGCAGGGTACCGTAGGCATTCATCGTATGGCAATTTCACTAAAGTATGTGAATTCAGTAAATTTATCCCCTTCATTCAAACAATGCCACTTTTAGTAGTTTATTTAGCAGAGAGGTTGCCATACACAAGGTTGACTGCCTCTGGATGATGGCTTTAACACTACAGTATATCCAGGTCTTAACAGTTAACAGTACTAAGCTGAGGGGAGATAGTGGCTTTAAAACATATCTTCACTGTTTTCTTATCACACTTAACATCCTGAGCTGTCTAGTGGTTGTCCAATCATCTCTCAAACATAATTGTAACTTAACCACCTAAGACATACAGCTATACACACCTGTTTAACCCAGTCATTTTCTCCAGGAACAGGGACACAGTAGTAAGTGAGGCGATCACCTATCTCACAGCGAGGAGAGTCTGTTAAAATTGTCTCACCGGCCTGGAGGAGAAAAATCATACATTTAGGCACAATATCCGTGACAGATTCATTACAGACATAAGTTAGCTGTTTAATTACATAATATACCTGTAAGCTAGCAGAGGTGATGATACATTCACTATCATATAACAAGGCTAACCTCAGTAAATAGGGCTCACTACTGTTGCCCTCACCATTAGTTAATGTCAGCCTTGTCCTAACAGGGTGAGATAGAAAGAGACATGTGTATTAACGCCTTCACTAAAAGGATGACACTTTCACTATTATATTTTGCCAAGGCCAAAATTTTTTATTCAGCACAGACTGATGTACACAAGGGGTTATAAGTCAACCTGAAGAGAGCCAGCATATTCACTCTAAACTTTAAATATGACTGACTCTTAGGTCATACTGGATTGAACTAAACTTTAACAGTTATTCAGACCTTTATATATATACAGTAATGTGTTTATTAATATCTGAGCAATTTAATGTATATTGCAAACAAGGAGTTAAAAGACCCCAAAACATAAAACATCAATTTGTATAGTACACTAGTGGGGGATTTATTGCTGTGGTTCATCTCATATATACTTGCTGGAGCAGATACACCTCCCTTTGGCGTTAATGATGATACTGGGAACTGGTAACCAAAAGTTCTTCCCCCGAGTATTTGTTATGATGTTGAATAAGGCTTTTGCTCCTTTCCTAACAAACTGATGTGACCGTACGCCAAGTGCTGGTAGTGGTTAGGTACACATTTACCATGATAGGGAAAAACATAATTGAGTAATAACATAAGCTATGAGGCAGTATAGATCTGTACTCTGCAATTACTAAACCCAATGAATAATCTCACCCCACACTCTGCAATATCCTTGTAGCGTCCTGGTTGGAGTCTGGTAGCCCCGGTGATCTTGTTCTCCACAGTTATGTCTCCAAGAAGAATTCGTTATCAAACATATCCTGTATCATCCCCCTGAAGCGTACTACTCGGTTAGGCTGCAGGTGGTGTAAAGGATTGTCATTTATCCAAGGCAGCTGGCAAGTGAAGAGAAGAAATGTGGTTATTAATAAGATAATTACTTCTGTATACTTAACTACTCAACAAAAATTTTTTCTTTTCAGAAATATTCACAACTATTCAGGAAGTAGCATTAGAGGAGAGATTAACCCACTAAATAAAACATGTTCACAGTAGACACAAACATAAGCCCTCTCATGCTGCTCCACGAACCCTGAGAATCAGACTTCGCATTAGACACCCGTGCACTACTGTAAATGATTCGGATTAACGTGTCAGAATCTTGGGGTTCGTGGAGCAGCAAGAGAGTTGAGAGGACCTTAGTTTGCGACTGTACATCTTTGTGTACTAAGAGAGAGGCTCCTTACCTTCTTAAGAACCAATGGTTGTTTGACTTCATTTTCAAAAATTCTTTACCCTCTGCCTCCAGTCACCTGATGCTTCACACTCATCTGTTAACAAATCCATCAGTCATTACAGTAACCAAGATGGCATGTAAATTTGTTTTCAATTTTATATTACATTCTATTAGATACATGCATATTGTTCACAAAAGCTATACAGTACTATAGCTTGTGTAGACTTATAACTGCTGATAAATGTTCAAATATACCAATACAGGACAGTGTGTCATTAACCTGGATGTTTGATGGTGTAATAATTTAGAATAAAATCATATACAGTAAAGAGACAGAATAGATATTGTTTTGTATTGAAGAATAGGCCACCTAGGCACAGGTCACTGACCCACAACACGGCCTGGAACTAAAAATAAGAATAACAAAATAAATAAACTAAAATAAAAATTAAAGGAAAAAGAAGAGTACAGTACAGTATGTTAACACCATGAAGATGAAGGAAAACCACCTTTTTGAAGTGAGACAGATTGTAAGGAGGACACACAGCTGACGCCCATATAGCATATACTGTATTGTGCTTCAAATAATTTTTACTCTCACCAAATGTCAACAAACATGTTCGTAATATTACATCTGCTAAATAAATGATTACCGGTCTTGGGCTCTTACTTCTGCTATTTGTACAGCATTCATTCTGTCCTAAATTACTGCATTTGGTTACAGTATAGTACATTACTCTGTACTTGCAAATATGGCAGCTGAAGATGCAGATGTTTTGTGCAAAGACAATCGTTTAAATCCTTTGAGGAAGTGAAATGGGTTATTACTGGGTAGTGAAGGAACTCTCGAATTTGCTCTAGTGTTGTTGATGAAAATTTATTTACAGTATCTTTTTTTTTTATCTTTCAATTTCACTTAAAAAGTACTTTTGATCTACAAGGTGGGCAGGGCTTTGAGTATGATAAGAGGAAAATTGTCAGGTAAAAAGTCACAAAAAACTAATGAATCATAACCTAAAGTTCTTCATTACAAGTTGAAACTTCTCTACGTTCATGTTGTTAAGGCTGTATATATATATATATATATTATATATATATATATATATATATATATATATATATATATATATATATATATATATATATATATATATATATATATATATATATATATATATATATATATTTTTTTTTTTTTTTTATTGACAGTATCTGTTCTTCCAATATTAATACACTTGCTGGTGTTTAATTTCATTTGCCATTTTTCTGACCATTCCTGCAGTTTATTTAAATCCTCCTGTAGTGCATTTGCATCCTGCCCGAATTAATCTGCACGCCTATTTTGGTGTCATCCATGAACAAGTACCGCCCCCAAGCTGGAAGCAGCCATTCGTGAGGAGTGGAATAATTTAGACCCACAAATAATCCACAACTCGGCAGTCAGTTCCTTCACACCTGCAGGAGTGTATCAAGAGAAGAGGGAGGCCTATAGACTACTGGAAGTTTGTTATTTTCTCAGATTAATTTTTTATTAATATTTCATCTTGCTATTTATCTCATACGACCCCGTAATGCAATGGCGAGGAAGTACAACAAGTCTAACCTAACCAGAGAAACCAGAAGGACCAGAGGTAACCTAGTATCCAGGGGGACAGGCCCATTGTCTAAATCTAACCCAACAAGACAAAAAATATAACAAAGGAAACTAAAGAACAAACTTAACATTGAAGTAAAATGGAAAAATAATAATAATAATAATAACTTTCTGACAACAACACCAGTAAGACGAGACAGACACTTCTGCCGACTGACTAAGAAGTAAACAATGCATATCCTCAAAAACTCGGACTTTCTTCAGCGAAGTCGAAGTTAAATATACTTGAAAATTATAAATTCCAACAGAAACAATAAAGTTTTCTTTTTCATCTCGTCTCCCTAAATAGAATCAACATTAGTTCCATACATAGTAACTACGCAATATCAGTCGTGAAACTTTGCTATGGAAAAGTTAGGGTAATATCATTTTGGTCATCTACCTATTTTAAAGTAGGTCAGAATCGGCTCAAAACTCACCAAAAACCATCGGAACATACTGTCAACCTAACCTAACCGTAACCTCTTTGGCGGTTGGTAACTTAAAATCCTAAAATTCTCTCGATGACTGAAATATAAGACCAAATGTTGTATCGTTTTCTAACTTATTATCGGTATTATTATCAAAACGGTCATCCAGCGAAATTTTAGGATATTAAATTTACTATTGGTAGGTTGGGTTAGGTTGAAATGTTTTTGCGATGGTTTTTGAGGAGTTTTGACGAAAAATAATATTACCCGATTATCATCTAAAGTACATGTGAAAAATGGGCAAAAATCGAATAATTCCTTCTGGTGTTAGCCATCCGGGTACTTTTGCAGTAGTTCACACAACTTTCCTGCCCCTAAATCTATTATCATATTCGAGAAAGACGTCTAATTTTAGGATAATTTTCTTCTATTACATTACCGTCGCAAACATATAATAAAGTAGATAGCGTATGTTTCCTTTACAAATCGGCGTCTTGCATGCATTCCTGTACACATCACGAGTGCAATCAAAGGCTTTTTTTTTTGCCACCAATTGAAATTAATTGTGGTTTAATTTGCAGTATTTTTTGCCCAATCAGATTCGATTGTGATTTTGGGTCTCTCATATTTCGAAATTCAAATTCATTTCCGACCATGGAAGTCAGCGATGGATGCAATTATATGGAGCGAGTTCATTTTTTAGATCTCCGCGGTGTTCTATCGACCTCAGTAAAGTGTCCTTAAGTGTAAGAACGAATGTAAGTATCGTCAAGACCAATATAGTAGTAAATCCGACGACGAACCAGAACCAGGCCAATAAGGTAAGAAATAAGTGAGTTAGGTCAGGTTAGGTTAGGTTAGGTCAGGTCATCCCAAAAAATCAAGGTCAAAACCAATCAAAACACACAAACACACACTAGAAAAACATAGTTATGATTTTCTAACAGAGTTGTGTGAATTAATGAAAAATTTACCGCCATCCGCTCCAGTATTACCCCAAAGCTCTTAAACAGGTCCCTTGGGCTATCCATTACTGAACTGATTTAGTTTATCACATTTTGTATACAGCATTGTCTTTGTACAGTACATAATGAAACAATATGAACATGAACTACGACTCTACTCCGTAAATATTAATACATCTCTGTTAACTCTACACTACTGTACGTTAGTGAGAATAAACTTATCACTCACCAAATATTCTGTCGACGGTTCTGAGTTGGGTTATTGTCCAGTCGTCGACGCCAGGCATGTTGTGGTGCACGAGATGATAGTGTTATGGTGCACGAGATGATGGTGTTATGGTGCACGAGATGACAGTGTTATGGTGCACGAGATGACAGTGTTGTGGTGCACGGGATGACAGTGCACGTGGCCTTGTGTCCAAACAACTCCCAGAAGTTTTGGCGGGAAGCTACTTCATCAGCTGACTTGCGATTCAGAAATAATGACTAGTTTTTAAACATTAGTCATTTATTACATAACATTCTATTTCCATTTGTTTTTTTAATGTTATAGAAATTATCTTCATAATTTTTATTAAGATACATACTTATATATGTATATTTGCAATCATAAAGTTGACGTCATAACATCCGTACAAAAGGCAAATGCCAGGTTTTTATATTGTATTATTTATTTATTATGTAACTTAATATTTTCAATAAACACTTTTTTCGTGTGATCAATTTGATTTGAAACGTTTTTAGTATTAATCTGCGTTAAGCAATCGCTACATTGGCGCCAATCCACTTTGGTTCGAAAGACAAATGTCTGACAAGTGCAATACTTTCACGTGGTTTATGGCAGGCTCAGACAACAAGCAGTGTCATCTATATGTAATCTAAGTGTACTTAAGGTAAATATGACATCAAGGAAACCAACGTTGGATTAACTTTATAAAATTATATCCATTTCGCCGTATTTCGGTCAAAACTGTGATGGGTCAGGAAGTTTTGTTGGTCATGTAGATGTAAACACGTATTACTGTGCATTAACCAAATGAAACCAAAATGTCTAAAATTTTAACCTCATTAGTTATATAAAACTCAGTATTGGTGCGAAAATTGAATTTAAACTGGCTCAAATATGAGCTGTTTACCCAACGCCTGTATACCTGCAGTGTTGTATAGACAGTACAGTGTGTGAAGTCTCAAGTCAACAACCACGAAAGTTAGGAGTATGATATTGTATCTATCCAACATAATTCTTATGATCTTAACATGTTTAAAGGCGTATTTAATAATAATAAAAATACTACTTGAATTATGTACTTTACCTGGCGGCGGAGGCGGAGCAGGTGCAGCACCTAGAAATTCCTCATAACAAAGGCTTCCCTGGATTTCACCCTTAACGTTGGTATTCACCTCTGCCTGCTCTTCCTTGTTTGGTGATTGGCCAAATTGCTCGTGTGGCAGGCGCGCCCCACTGGCTGGCCAATCACAAAACAGTAATGCCGGTGCACTGTGTACTCTACCTTGAGGGACGGAGTTATTTTTTAATTTTAATTTACTTTGTTGTCGGGGGTTAGGAAGCCAGTAGTGTGTTTAACCCTCGCCTTGTAGTTCCTGACGGGTGTGTCCAGGAGTCCAATGTTAATACAGAATTAAACCTTGAGTGTCTGAGATAACGTGTCTTGGTGTGGATCTTCTGGACCGCATGTACTGTACGACTCTTGTTTCACTGTCATACAAACCTCTCAACTTGTAATGTAAATAATTTAAACGGCTAATATAAGGTGTATGAACATAAAACTCATCTTATATTTACAGCCTCGATCCGCCCCGACTTGTGGTTGACGATATTCTCTTATTAGGTTAGAAAATTATAGTACAGTACATAACACACCCCCCCTCCACACACATCACCGTACTTACACCGTGAATGTGGTTTTTGGAAATTGTTTTTATGAATGAAAAAAAAATACGTGAAAAAATAATCCGCATTTCCCGTATCGTTACAACTTAGATACGGTAAAATAGATTAGGCGATAAAGTTGGCCGAATTTTGCAAAATAATTCGAAGTGATGGTTTCAAAATAATTAATCTAAGCTTTAAAGTAGCTTAATTCTTAAACAAAATTACACTCTTACTAATTTAAATTGTCATAATTAATAACTTGGATTTGAAGACATTACCATAGAATCTAAAGTGCTATTAAAAAAAATATCTGAAGCTTGTATAGGTAGTTTAGTGCTGTGGCCACATGTACACAGTGGGCCACATCAAGTACACAGTGGACCACACATTATGTACACTGGGCCACAATACGTGCATTGGACTACATCACAATACACAATTGGGCCATATTACATATAGTGGACCACATTACGTAATGAGCCACATTATGTACTGCATACACTGGGCCCCATTACGTAAACAGTGGGCCACATTATACACTAGGCCACATTACGGACACAGTGGAGATGACAGCTTCAACATTTAAAGATCAATAGATGCTGGTGGCAGTAGTTGTCATCGCGTGATAGACCTGACATATTGGAGCACTTCATGTCTGCATATATTACATATTTAATTTTATGTAGTGTACATTGTTTTGTTATATGTTAGGTGTATTAACAATATAGAGTACAGGTAGTAGTTAAGAAAATGTAGACGAAGAAAACTTGTATAGTTAATGCACTTTCTGTCCACTTAATTATTACGTTTCTGTAGTCATTTTTGAGGAAGTAACTAAAACAAAGAAAAATCGGACCCTTCTTTCAGCTTATTTGTTATTTATATCTATTGGTATTTGGGGTATTTTGTTTAAATGACTTTTCTTATGACTTGGCCTTTTTTTATGGAAATGTTGTAAGTTCCGTCGTCCATCACACAACCTACCAGCCAAGATTCACCTATATCGCTCAAGCTGTGTTTATGGCTTGTAAAGTACAAGACTAGCAGTTTCCTCCATTCTTATGTTCTTATTGTGAGTGGTGTGACCTTGACGGCGGGATCTTCGACCAACTTTCTCCACAGTCAGACAAGTTTGTTCTGAGCCAACACCCAGCTTACCTGCACAGCTTAAATATTACCATAACTTATTTCAGTGTTGTAACTGTCCTTACACACCTCAATATTTTCTAGTACTTCTGTTTTGTACTCACAACTATCTTACTGTTAAATTAAATGTGACGGTTGAGTATCGTCTGGGGTGATGTTCTCATACAGCACAGATTAACTTGTGAGACAGTGTTCTCTGGTCGGTGTGCATTGTGCAACATGCTGGAGAAGTATTGCACGACACAGATGTGTGTTACCATTATAAACAATGACCAAATTTTAATTCATATATATACATATTGTATCTCCAATGTTTACTGACGGTGTTTTCTGGACATTGAGTTGGCTTATTAGCAATGGTGATTTTACTGACTATTTTATTATTCCAGATGGCCAGCAAAACATGCTGAACTTGTGGAGCAACACTGGTGTTACCATAAAGATTAGACACGAGGCTGTGGAGGAGCCGCTAACACTGACCGTCTACTACAGCCTCTTTATCATGGCTCACTCGTCTTACCCTCCACCCTCTACCCCACCTCGCCCGCTCTCCCCTATACATTCCTACCACAAGCCTCCTTCCACCTCCGGCCAAAGGTACCACAAGCCTCCTTCCACCTCCGGCCAAAGGTACCACGAGCCCTCTTCCACCTCCGGCCAAAGGTACCACGAGCCCTCTTCCACCTCCAGCCAAAGGTACCACGAACCTCCTTCCACCTCCGGCCAAATGTGTCACCGGCGGCAGCTGGTCAATAAGAGGCACGAGAATCGTGGAGGTGAGAGTGTCGTGTCACCAACAGGTAAAGCTTGGTGGCCAGGAGTCACTGTACCTCAGGTGCCACCGTTGCCAATGTCGTCGTGCATGGTAGTAATGTCGTCCACGGCTGCTGTACAGATAAGAGACACTGCTCACTGCTGCCGTGGCCGACGCAGTGTGCAACTCCACCCGCTATCCTCACCTCCACACCAACGCCCCGGCCCTCACCAAATATCTCTCTCCCTCAGGTTAGATTTACTCATCTGTTTAACTAATTATTATTATTTTTTTTTTGCGGGGATTAGCCCACCCGGGCAGAGGTTACTGACCCACATCGGGGCCTGGGGCGCGAAAATGTAATAATATAATAATAATAATAATAATAATAATAATAATAATAATAATAATAATAATAATAATAATTCAGATAAGTCAAATAAAAAAATAAAAAATAAAATAATAATGATAACAATAATAATAACAACACTGCAATAATAATACTAATAATAATAATAAAGAACCAGAAATAAATACAAAAATTAAAAAAAAAGATTAATAGTGAGAAACAATATCTGTACGTTGTGTTGTCAATAGTAAGAGAAACAATTAAGACCCTGCAATTGTATTTCAATGAGGCAGAAAGTCAGATCATCAACCAGGGATTTTTCACATATAGCAGCAGGGTCTACCATTAGACAACACAATATGTTCCCAATATCTTCCCGGGGGGTAGTACCTCCCTGTTTGGTAGCATTGTAATCCTGATTCTGAGATGTTTTTCACAACAAATGACAATTGTTCTTTATATATTACCTATTATGTACTGTACAGTCCCTCATGTAGTGTCTCACACGTTAGAGCTTAATCAACAAAATAACATTACTATATATATTTTTTACCAACAGATGAAGAACAATGTTGTGAGTACTGCTCGTCTTACATTTCCACACCTCAGGCTGATCTGGATCAAATCTATCCTATATACCACACACACTCATCGATCTACGGGGCAGCCAGTGACCCAGAGGACACAGGTGGCACCAAGCACCAGGCTGTGAAAAAGATCCGCCCATCGCGAACTTATATGGAAGACGGTGTTGACCTCGAGTACCAGTCAGTATCGGGGGTCATGGGGAGGCGCAGTGACCCAACAAACACAAATGATTCGCAGGATGAGGGTGTGAGAGAGGAAACAATGTACTGGGTTGAAGATGGCGGGGGAGTGATGTGTGAGGGGGAGTGGTGGGAACCCGTTGATGCTCACTACCTGGAGCAGCTCACGTGAGGACACCGCTTCTCTGCCTTCACTCTTGGACAACAATTCTCTGCCTTCACTCTTGGACAACACTTCTTTGCCTTCACGTGAGGACACCACTTCTCTGCCTTCACTCTTGGACAACACTTCTTCTTCTCTGCCTTCACGTGAGGACACCACTTCTCTGCCTTCACGTGGTGGACAACACTTCTCTGCCTTCACGTGAGGACACCACTTCTCTGCCTTCACGTGTGGACACTTCTCTGCCTTCACGTGTGGACACCACTTCTCTGCCTTCACTCTTGGACAACACTTCTCTGCCTTCACGTGAGGACACCACTTCCCTGCCTTCACGTGAGGACACCACTTCTCTGCCTTCATATGTGGACACTTCTCTGCCTTCACGTGAGGACACCGCTTCTCTGCCTTCACGTGAGGACACCACTTCTCTGCCTTCACGCGAGGACACCACTTCTCTGCCTTCACGTGAGGACACTAGACTACCTTCAGGTGTGGACAATTATCAGTCCTCGCGTATGGATACCTTGAGCACAGCACATCTTACTAAAAAAAGTAAGTGACCTCGTACTGTTGACCATTACTAGTTGTGGTTATATACATGTGTGTGTGTGTGTGTGTGTGTGTAATAATACTAATAATTAACAGTTTATTGAAAAATTTCTGCAGCCCGAAGGCTGAAAATATACATTGGACATAAATGACTTATTACTTACATTGGTGGTTTAACAAAAGCCTTCATTAGAGAAAGGTAAAGGAACATACAGATTAATGTTTACAGTGGAGGTCACGTAAATCATTTACGCTGAAGTGTTGAATAGCAGACACATGGTGTAGTAACAGATGGTGTTAGGAGGGGCTTGACGTGGTGTAGTAACTCGTCCTCGGGTGTTGATATGAAGGACCTCACGTGGTCATGGAGACACCAGGTGGTGTGGTGTTCACATGGTGCAGTAACTCGTCCTCGGGTGTTAATATGAAGGACCTCACGTGGTCATGGGGACACCGTGTGGTGTGGGGTGGTGTCACAGTACCTCACCCTACTGGGTGGTGTTGTGTTATCTCGTAGTCAGGTGTGAAGCCGACCGGCCCTCTGTTGTTCCCATGGTGGACTGATTCGTACCTCCTGGTCAGAAGATGGCGGTCACTTCCCAGGGGTGCTTATCTCACTGGTGGGTCATGGCTTTCACTGGTACTGTCTAGTGCTGAATTCACTGGCTTAACACTGTTCATCACTGTTCAACACTGATCCCATTCTTTCCGAAACGAAATTGTCACTTTTGATTATGTAGATATCCCGGTGGTGAGGATGGGTCGGGGAGAGGGACTTGGGGAATGGGCCGAACATTTTGCCGCTGCTCAGCAGGAGCAGCACCTGAATAGGTCTTGACCCTACAAGGATGTAGTGTATGTGGTGCGTGCTTGCGTGTATAAGGTATGTAGTATGTGCGTGTGTGTGTGTGTGTGTGTGTGTGTGTGTGTGTGTGTGTGTGTGTGTGTGTGTGTGTGTGTGTGTGTGTGCAAGTCTGGTATACAGTAAGTTGATGGAAGCAGTTCAGTTCAATAACCTTTATCACTGGCTGCGGGGAGCCGGGTTTGGCTCACAAGGTTAACTGATGAATTAGTTGAGAAGGAAATATAGTAATTACAAAATAAACAATGGCACATGAAGCATATACCAACAGATACGGATTTGGCAAGGAAAAAGAAAGGTAGGGTCTGCTGAGTGACCACAGAGGAGGGATTTCTAATTTGTGTTTATTACTGAATTATAAAATGTTATGGTATGTTAAATAATGTTGTTGTGTTGACAGGAGGCAAAGAAGGCAGGGTGACGGAGGAGCGTGTAGTGTGGGGCCGCCCAGGTACTACAAGGGATGAGGAGGAAGACTTGGGGTACCAGGAAGGATCTATCACAGTCTCTCTCAGCCCCGACTCCGCGTACATCTCGCCTCCCGCCTCACATCACACCAACACAAACCTTGGTGAGTCACTGTGTCCATTAATCTCACTCTTCAATCTCTAATTCACTCAATAGCATGACATTTTTCATCGTCCTAATGTTAAAAAAAATAATTCATTTTGTCTCCAAACTGTTTAACTTGTTGATGTTATAAATGGTTGTCAGGTGCGGTGATGGAAGGGGCAGTGGCAGGGGATGATGGCTGTTTTTCACACCTCTACCATACTCGCCAGCACACCTCCAGGTCAGTCAGTCTCTCGTCCACCCAAAATATCAATTTGTTTTCATGTACAGGGTGGGTGAGAAGTAACACAGAAGTGGGTCTTTAAAGTCTTGAGAATGTGTCAGGTGTCAAGTTATTTCTGCCCTACCCTGTACAGTACTTCCAGAAAAATGCAAGTTAAAAAAATATAACTGATCCCGTAGAAATGATTTCATGCGAACTAATGATGGGTGAGTGGACTGAATATCCAAATGATTGATTGTTAATTTAAAGTTACCTCCTATAGGTCATTAATCTAGTACAGTGGCCTTAATTCTTATATTCATGACGAGTGTTGTTTTCCCTCGGCAGCCACAACAACCATCAAGTGGAGAAGGAGCTGTGTCAATACCGACTTCTGCTGCGTCTCCACCAGGCAGCCTCCACCATAACTACCCTCATAGTCAAAAAGCTGTTGTAGAGTTCAACCAACAACGTTTTGCTCCCTCACTCCAACATATCACCATTCACATCCCAAGTCACCACGATTATGTTTGATACTAAAAGATCTTAAATCACCAAGATATTATATCTACCAAATCATCAAAATCATTCTTATAAGTTACCAAGATGTTGATTGCTATAACATTTCCACTAGGCACCAAGTCTATTGATTTTTGTACTAGATTTTCTTATCAAATAATACTTACATCACCAAGTAGCATTATATAAAAACAAATATATATTTTTTGTTCAATAATGGTGCCACTGATCACCAATATTTATTTACTTTGATCACCAAGTTCGACATTTTCATAGTAGTGAAGATCCCACGAACCGCACACCGATCACCATGACATTATTTTCACTTACCTAAACCCTTTAATATTATCACCAAAGTTCTTTTAATCATCAGAAACAGACGGAGGCGAAATTAGTGTCTGAATGTTTATCACGTTTAATTTTTCCCCCGAATTGGGTGTTATTATTTTTATTTGCTTGTGAAGGAACATTTAGCAAACATTGGCTAATTCTAAAACTTGAATTACGTTTAGTAAATGTATTGATCTGCAATCTTAATGGTTTGTGTTAACTTTTCCTCCTTGGTGCTGTCACATAATTCATGGCAGGGTATACCAAAAGTTCTTAGTTCTTACTCTAGAGAATTTAGTTCGGAAAGTTATATTTGTATTTATTTATTTTATTTTTATCCTCTACTATATACTAATATTAAATACGGCTGGGAGGTTAGGTTAGTTGATATTGATGCCAGCAAAACCCTTCATTTAAAATTTATTATCATGGTATTTCACATCTTATGGACGAGGCTTCTAGCCCATGGTCGTTTGGTACGCCTGCACCTGCTTTGTGAAAATATTGATGATGTGTCTATAAAGGTTTGAATATGAAGAGTACAGTACTGGGTGACGTCAACATATCTTACAGTATCGATATTAAACCACTAAGATATCGTTGACGTCACTAATGTTTTGAAAATTAAGTTTACATGATTGTATCTATATTAGAAAGTTTGTCAGCGCGTCTCTCCTACATTCAGTATCGGTAAGTTACAGTGTCAAAACAATCAGAACTCATGTAAGTCGTTAACGTTGAGTTGGGGGGGGGGGGCGAATTCATCCCCTTCCTTCGTCCCTTGAAAGGACCCTATGTACACGCCTCAAATATGCACACATGTACGAGTATATGCATAGAGACAGTCTATACGTAGTTGGACAAGGCAGGTTGTTGGCCCACATGATAAAGGAATGTGGCGGCAGGATAGATTGGCACATCTCAACATGATGACGCAGTCCTGAGCGTATTATTCAACCCAAGTTTTTCGTGCGACAACTGACATTTGGCTCCTCCTGGCCCTGGCGCCAAGGCTTCCCTCGCGCTGATTGGTCCTCTTACGGATCTGCCCATGTCGTTCATGGCGTCCTATTGGTTACCTGGGACAGTATTACTCTAATTTTAATTGATAAATAATATTATCTGGCATTCTTTCTTGGCTTCATCTATGCGACTGCGTTGTAATCTTTCTCCTCCCTGGCTTACTGTGTTTGGTTGAGACAACGTTGCCTAAATGTGTTTACACTCGTTTTTATTTCAGTATTTTACTCTACACATTATGATCAAAATATAAGTACAGTACTGTACAGCAGTAATGTCTGCCCACTGTACTACTATTTCTATACAGAATATACCAAACTAATGAGAGATTCACACCCTGGGCTGGTGGTCTCCACGAGGGTAGTAGTAGTAGTAGTAGTTTATTGACAAAAGTATAAATACATGGTAAATATATACAAGGAATTCAAAATACATTTGTCCAACAAAATATTTGAAATCAAAACAAAACATGTAAGGGGCAATTTCAAACTTAACTATAGATTCCTAGTACCCCATGTACATAATTCAGGCACATATACATTTTCATTTAACAGTTCACACTGAAGAAAGTCAGCATATGATACCTTTCACGACAATGTGCAGAGAGCGTACGACTATCTTCTTTAATGTCACCTGTTAAGACCAAAAGTAAAGAGAACATTCATGGTTTATAACTACGGTACTGTTTGGCTCCTCGCTCTACCGTAATGTTGACAGTGTAGGGCAGAGTGAGGCTTAAGGCGGTGCACCGGTAGCCTCACTCAGATGACTCACACAACAACCAAACATCCTGTGACCTCCATTTTCTGCTCTTGATTTTACTTCACTTCTCTTAGAAGTAGTTATTCCGGAGACAGACCGACTGAACTGACGAAGAAACCCGCCATCTACCACCTCATTATCTCCTGGTCTGCCACCAGCGTGTTGCCTCTCACCACCGCGGTCTTCCAGACCCCGGGTCGGTTTCTCCGGACTGCTACTGTACTAACACCGCCCAGTGAAGGTTATAACAAAGATCAGACCGACCGCCCGAACGGCTAGTGCGCTAGTAAGTGGTGAAGAAAAAAACGTGCTGTACATGTTAGGCGTGTGCACTAACGTGTTGTGTCGGGCGAGGGAGCAGTCTCGTGAAATAAACCTGGTATATAGTTCACATTGTTTCTTGTGACTGATAGATGTTGTGGAGGAGGCGCAGCAGCGTGGGTAAAGGAGGAATGTGTCTACGAGAGTTTTAAACGTAACATATAATCAAATGACATCACTGTAACCCGTTCTGAGCGTGGTGGGCGGCGGCGGCATGACCTTCACGGGGACTAGTGTATGTGCGGGTAGACATGGAGCGCCCGCCCACCTGCATCACCATAGCGACACCGCACTAATAATCTCTTCACACAGTTATTGGTTAATAGCCAAGTTATAATTATCTGTAATACGGACGTTAGCCTCCACCATGAACCTAACCCATCACGTACTGACTCCGTATTTCCTTTACATTATAATCTTTACATTTTCTTGTTTTGGGCGTCTATTATTATAACAAACTATATTTCTTTATCACGTAAATGCGATAATTATGAGGTTCCGTGTTTATACAGTGATGTCGCAATCATTGTTGACGAGTGTGTATTTAACATCTCAGTTAGATCATTAAACTATATTACTCGGCTTTCAAAAGAGTATCTTCCGGCTGATGTTATTACTTCCCGCCAGAAAACAAAGGCTGTCATCTTTCACCCAACGCGTCCATAACAGTTGCCACAGATTCTTGTACTGTAGGTCGGTTGGCCACAGTACACACGTCAGCGCTCTGCCACTTGTAACGTGTCAACATGTACAGTGCAAAATAGTTAAGTCACGTCGAAAATCATCGCTATTAATAATATTGTTAGACGTTCGACTTGTTATGATGATCGTTACTTTTTGACTGTGATGTAGTGGACAGTCCGCCAACATATTTGGCCTCTCAGCAGACAATTCCTTCATTCAACTCCTCATGATCACTGTTAAATGTAACTTTATTCCTCATATTGGTAAACCATAACACTATTATGACTTATACTGTGGCTTCATGACGACAGGTGGCGGCACATCACCACGTTTACTACCACCGCTTCAACCATTTACTGGGATACAAAAAAAAAAAAAAAATCACCTTTTGCTGGAATCCGAGGGTCACACCCACTGAGAGGCCCAAGGCTACGCGATGAATGTTACTGCCGACGACCAGCTGCTGACAATAACACCGCGGGAGTCTTATAAACCTTCTCTTATATCAATGTTGATGTTGTCAGTCCACAGACAACAGTTATGAGGTGAAGTCTGGGTCATGTGGCAAGACAACTCACTTACAACCGCTCTGGTTAACTGGAAGACTAAGAAATGGGTGGGGCCTCTCCTTCACCTACGGCACACACACTGCCACACACTTCTCAATTCTAACCTAATTCCTGTACATCTAAAGCATCGTCGTTTGTACATAATCTCTCTCTCTGTATTTCCTATATTATCTTGTCAGTACTCAACACTAGCCACTACACTACCAGTCGCGCCACCCAGCACAAAGTGGGGATTAAAGCTCTCTACTGTTACCTGCTCTTCTTCCTTCCTACTCCTTCCTCTTCCTTCCTCCTCTCTCCACACAGGCAGGTCAAACAAATAACAATACCTTACAATGAGGGTATCAAGTAATACACAGTAACTTTAGGTAACACAGTAACTCAAGCAACAGTAACTTATGCAACACAGTAACTCAAGCAACACAGTAACTCAAGCAACACAGTAACTTATGCAACACAGTAACTCATGCAACACAATAACTCAAGCAACACAGTAACTCAAGCAACACAGTAACTCAAGTAACAAAGTAACTCAAGTAACACAAAGTAACTCATCCTTCATCACACACTTCAATTTTTTTAACCAACATCTACGGTAAGATAAATTCTGTATTTAAATGAAATACAGAATACAAAATAGATTGATTAATATCTCCCATTACTGCTGCTGCTACGGGCATTAACTGTACTATTATCTTCAGTTTAATGCGACAGTTACATAGAGATTCATTGTATTGGGGTTAGGTTAAGTTAGGTTGTTAGATTAGGTTAGGTTATGTTAGGATATGTTATGCTAGGTTGGGTTGGGTTAGG